TAATAATTTTAAAAGATTTTAAGTTTTAAAAGATTTAAAAACTTTCCTTATTACATCTTTTTGTGCTGGAGTATAAGGTAATTTTCAATTGTTTTTTCAAAACAATCAGAAAATAGATGAAAACAATGCAAATAATCTCACCATCCTAATGTAAATTTTTATAGCATTTTGATAATTCCTATTAGTTCTTTTCCTTGAACCAAACTTAGATTTGCAATTATGGCATATGCTAATTTTACCCCCCCACACAAATGTAGTCCTATATCATAGCATTTTTCAGATTGATACTATCATTAAATATGGCTACATAAATATCATTAAATTTTGTCTACATAAAACATCCCACTGAATGGGTAATCATAGCCTACTTAGTCATTCTCATTCCCCTGTAATTTGACAGTTAATATCCTCCTAATTTTTGAATAACTCATTCACTCATTATTTCTGGTTTTTGTCCCTATTTTTATGGTGGATATTTAATGCATAAATATACATTGAAATGTACATTAAGTATATTAAATATTGCCACTTTTAACATATGGAAGCATGCAGTTTTCTAACATTAAGTACTTTCAAATTGCATTACTATTACCATCCATTTCTAGGACCTTTTTCTTCTATCCAAATTGAAATTCTGTAGCCATTAAACACCAATTCTCCCTTTTCCCTCCTTCCAGCTGCTGGCAGCTACAACAGTACTTTCTGTAGTTAGCCATGCTAGGAGCGCCACCCTTATTTCACTTAACATAATGTGTTCATTTCACCCCACGTGTAGCATGTGTCAAGATTTCTGTCTTTTTAACACAAAGCAGTATTTTAAATGTATATACCATAGTTTGTCCCTTCATCTGTCCATGGAGTCTTGAGTTATTCTACTTTTTTGTTCTTGTGAGTGAAGGTGTTATGAAGGAGCATGTGCAAATATGTGTGGTTGTTGGCCTTCATCTCTTTAGACGTACTGTACACTCAGAAATGGAATTACCGGACTGCATGTCAATTCTAGGTTTCAGTTCTGAAGATCTGCTTCCCGTGGCAACTGTGCCCTGCACGCTCCCTACCAGCAGTACAGAAGGATTTCAATTTCTCCACACCTCAATACTTATTATTTCCACTGTTAAAAAATACAATAGAGGACTGGGGAGATAGTTCAGTGGCATAAGCACCTGCCTGGCAAGCACAAGGTTCTGAGTTCGATCCCTGGTACTGAAAAAAAAAAATCAATAAATAAAAATAAAAATAGCCATCTCCATGAGTATATGTCTATGGTTTTCATTTATATAGCTAGTGATGTTAGGAACCTTTTCATGGACTTCTTGATCATTTGTGTATCTTCTTTTGAGATAAATATATGTAAGCCTTTAACCATTTTTAAAATTCAGTTGTTGTTGAGTTTTAGGAGTTCTTTATATAGTATGTACATGAACTGCTTATCAGATAGTATGGTTTATAAATATTTCCTTCTGTTTCATAGGCTGCCTTTGCATTCTTTGAATTTTTTAAAAAATGTACTTAGTACAGGGTCTAGAGGGTCTCACTACACAGATCGGACTTGTAGTGATACTCCTGTTTTCAGCCTCCCAAGTGCTGGGATTACAGGCGCGTGCCAGGAGTCTGTCTCAGAGCACCCTGGGGGTGGGGCCAGCATGGCACAGCAGGAATTGAACCCCGGTCCTTGCCTCTGCCTAAGCAGGAGCTTTAATCTGCTGAGCTATCTAGCTGGCCCTTGCATTCTTTTGCTAGTGTCCTTTGAGGCACGGATATCTTTAATTATAAAGAAGTCCAACTCATCGATTTTTTTCTTTTGTTGTCTAGCTTTTAGTATCAAAGATAAATCATTGGCAGATCTATTATCCTTAAGCTTTCACTCTTTGTTTGACTCTAAAATTTTTATAGTTTCAGGTCTTACCTTTAGGTCTTTGACCCATTTTGAGTTAATTTTTATATATGGCATCAGATAAATATCTAATGTCATTTTTTTCACCTATGAACGCCCAGTTTCCTTCATACCATTTGTGGAAAAAACTCTTTTCCCCATTGAATAATGTTGGCAGCTGATGGAAAATCATCTGACCACAGATGAGAGAGCTTATTTCTGGATTATTTTGCTCCTGTGTTTTATATTTTTCTTCACGCCAGCACCACACTGTTTTGCTATTGTAGCTTTGTAGTACATTTGGAAATCAGAAAGTGTAAGCTCTGCAATTTTATTATTTTCAAGATTATTTTGGTTGCTTTGGGTGTCTTGATTTGCTGGCAGATGATTGGCCTTTGCTTTTGAGTTTTAAGTGATAATTACAAGGAAAAGTAAAATACAGGATTTGAAACTATTATAATTGGTGAAAGATGCCAACTTGAATGTGACGAAGATTTTTTGGGGGGAGGAATCAAATTTAAAATCCATTGGTTGGCATATTTTTCTTTAACACCTAGTTTGTTTCTGACAAACTGTTGGCCTGGGCTCAAGGAATTAAAATTCTTTTATTCAGAAAATATACAGAAAGGTAAGTATTATGCTTCTTGGGGGGGGCGGGAATTCCCCAAGTAAAATATTTAAAAATTCAAGATGTGACCTGGACCAGCCAAATAGCTCAGTGGATTAAAGCGCCTGCAAGCAGGCACAGGGGCTGGGGGTTTGATCCCCAGGCCTGCCATGCCGGCCCCGCCCCCAGGGTATGCTGAGATGGCAATTGAGACTGAGTGTGGTGGTGTGCGCCTGTAATCCCAGCTCTTGGGAGGCTGTAAACAGGTGGATCACTACAAAGTCCGATCTAGTAGTGAGACCCTCTAGGCCCTGTAGACCTTTCCCTAAAATACCAAAAAAAAAAAAAAAACAAAAAAAAAACAAACCCACACCACAGGTGACCTGCATCTAAAATGCTACGCTCCTCTATTTTACAAGGCTTAACTTCTGCTCCCAGAACCTTGTCAAATCTTGGTAGTGAGCGGAAATCTTGGAAGTCACCATCTCATCATGCAAATGGTACCTGCTCTGTGATTTCTGGTCCCAAAAGTCCCATGACAAACCCAGACCAGATCTGGACACAGTAACCCAAGGGAGGGAGTCTGCTTTGAAGACAAAAAATAACAAATTGTGTTTATTTTCTAGATGACTCAGTTCAATGACAATATTATTACATATGTATGTACACCAAGGCCTCACAAAATGCTATGTTTGCTTTTTAAAACTCCTTTCTCGGGCAAAGCTTCCTGGGTCCTGAAGCTGCTGTCTCGTCACGGGGCTCGCTGCCCTCTCTCTCAGAAGTATAACTTGCACTGCCAAAGATTGCGGTATTTTGGGAGGCACTTGTCATTGGTCCAGCTGTGGCTCCAGCTTCTTGGAGCCACCAAATAGCCCAAGTTCCAGGCTCCCAAGTGCTACCACTGACTTTGCTCCACATTTTAATCCATTCCACAAGGATCACAATAGCTAAAAAAATTTAAAAAAATCATTGTTATACCTTCAACTATAGGTTTTCAGGGAAGCATTTTGGGTGCGTTTTGACTGGTTTCTAGTTTCTGAACTAATTAAGCTTATGGAGATCAGTCAGATAATTAGATTTTAAGAGTACAAGAATTTGTTTCCCTTTTATTAAGTGCTTTTTATTATTTTTTTGGTATTTGCTGTCTTTTTTTTGCCACCTGTATTATTCAAATCACTTTTTATACTGCTTAATTTTACACTTGTATTTTTACAAAAAATGATTCCTGGGAATTCAGGCCATGCCGCTTT